TAAGTTACTGTGGTGCTCTTCCACACACACTGTAAAATTCTGATCTCACACCAATTACAGGCCTGTCACTTCAAGGATGTTGCAAAGGTTGAAATGGCACCAAAAACTGAACTGCAGGACAATGCCCATAGTGATTTTCAAAAATGTTTTGAACTGTGAGGGATGGCAGAAGTATGTAACTGCTGAAGGAAAGTACTGCAACGATACTGTGCAACCCCATTTTAATGCTGCTAGATTTGAGATAAGGTTCCTGTCATGAAAGTTCATGAAGCTATCATACAGAAAGGAAGAATGGAGTATCAGTAATTCAGTCCCATCAATATAATTTTAATATATTTAATGTGTTTCAAATAACGAATCAACAAGATAGACGTGAGATAACATACATATAATTTATCTTTAGTTACCAATAACTTCATACACTGAGTTCATAATACTGCAGATCTGTAAAGCTAAATGACACACATTGCAAAAATTAAACACAACATTTAGAAAACACTAAAAGTACAATATTGAGGACTAGTGGTTATGAATGTTTCTCAAAGATGGCTTAGGAAACAACTGGCAAGTGCATTATTTGTCAGGTTCATGTAAATGACTAGAAACTTTGCAGTTTTGAAATACATGGCTAAACCAAACATGAATGCAATAAATAAAGGACACCACAGTAGTGTACTGAGCAAGCTAGCTCGAGCAGTAATACTTCTGAAGTTGCCTGGTTCGACTGGGACACCAGTGGTTTTTCTCAGTCCAGACAAATGTCAGAATAGTATATCAAATTAGGCCATCACAGCTTTTTTCTACACCTTTTCCAATTCATCATCACTAAACAACCAACCACTGATTATTATAGCCTGAGCTACTGATAGTGTCATTAAATAAACCACATGTAAGCAACTACATTAGTATAGCAGGAGTTACTTGAATGACAAAAAACTGTACATTCATTTCTTCTAACAGTGCATAGTTGCAAGCTAATGAACTGATGTTTTACTATCTTCAAACATGTTCAAATAACATAATTCTTAAAGCAAAGCTCAAACCTAATTACAAATTCCTGGTTTATATGCTATGCAAAGGTCTTCCATCAGTAAGCTTAACAACCAATCAAGGTCATAATAAAACTTACACAATGGGAACTGTCATAACTTCTTCAATAAATTCTTAAAACTAATTTATAATGCTGAAGTCACTTATGTATTACTCTTAATAGGAACTACAACTAGCTACAATACCAGATCAGGTTAGTTCACATAAAATTAGATGACTCATTCTCTTCTTTTTGGTTAGTGACCTACTCTGATTTAATTGGATTTAAATTCACAGGAACTATGCACAACTGCTATACAGCATATGCGCCTAAAGGCAATCATAAATAAAAAATAAAATCAAACCGAAAATAGTCTTCCTTAACGTGAATGGAGAGTATCCCACCCAATAATAGCTCACCTATGGTGTTCTTCCTCCACGGACAGAATTAATTTGTCCTATATATCAAAATAAGGACCAACCTTCACATACATATAAATGTCTACATATTTTTACACAAAAGAATCTTGCAACGAAGTATAATTCCCTAAATATTGCAAAACCAAACAGTTTAATGAAAGATTTGCGGCTTTCACGGCGGTGACTATGAAGAAAGCAGTCTTCTGGGATTTGGCACCGTGTATATGTGGTGTTAACNGTTTAATGAAAATTTAATGCCTGACACACAAAACCTGAAACAAGAGAAGTCAAATAATTGTGAACGGTTTTAATTTTGTATTTTAGCTCTAGGTTCCAAAGTAAAAGTTTTTTTTAACAGAAGACATATATTTATGACATCACAGCATGAGTTTAATATTGCGATTTCCCTACATTATGGATCTATCAGTTATCAATAATCAAAATTTTCATTAATAATCAGCCTGTAATATTTGTTATTAATAAGGGAACCAAAAAACCTGATGGAATTTAAGCATGATACGAGTTTAGCCTTGCAGTAATACAATGGACTCTTCAAATTTTCGGTACAAACTGACTACCCATACATTCCACGAATTTAAGTCTTAGAGGAAGAATACACTCTGCTTTATATTTTTACACTTCACACTTACAAAATATTAAAACAGGAAAATTTATGATGGATGAGAAAGAAAGAGCACTGACTCAAGCATAGATATACAGAAATATGATAAAAGAATGTAACTGTACAATTTATTTGCAATTGTGAAATTTCTTAATAAGGGCACTACAGATGACAAAGATACTTCGAAATTTTATGTCACATGTTCACCAGCTAGTAACAGAAGATAAACTTTACATCTCACTGGGTTAGAATTAGCATACAGTCAACATACATTTGAGAGTACCCTTTATCTTTCATGCTGGATTTAGATGACCTTCTGGTCTTTTTTTGTACACCTTTTTGTATTCATGGATTAGAATGTAATGCTTGCGCTGGCCTCACAATCATCTTTGCAGCATTTCCCATGTTTTCTGTGTAGGTTTAAAATACCAGGCTACATTTGGCCACCTGTTTTCATCCAGTATATCTGTATGGTTTCTGTGTCTATTTTTATGAATATATGCATTAATCTCTTTAAGTATATTACTAATCATGATCATTCCACACTATGATTTATCTAAATGTTCTCATTTCTGCTGATTCAATTTTTTGATCACCCTGTGTCCATGTTTCAGTATCACATATCATAAGCAGAATGCATATTTTCTACAGTTTCAGTTATGTATGTCTGAACATCATTTATCAAAGTTTCTGAATCATTTCACTTATCTGTGAATTCCTTAACATCTGTATTCTTTAAATGGAACACTTTTCTAGAAACGGTATATAGAACACCATATTGATATGTTGGGTTTTTGGACTTTATCCATCATCCTGGTTTTTAAGATAACAAATAAAAACACGACGTTTCGGAAACTGGATCTGTTTCCGTCCTCAGGTGACCGTCCACTGGACCAGTGATTGAGGCTAGCTCTTTCTAAGGGACCCAACTGAATAGGTGTTTTCCTTCACCTGAGGACGGAAACAGATCCAGTTTCCGAAACGTCGTGTTTTTATTTGTTATCTTAAAAACCAGGATGATGGATAAAGTCCAAAAACCCAACATATCAATATGGTGTTCTATATACCGTTTCTANAACACCATATGTCCAAAAAAGTATTTCAGAAAAACCAATGGGTCATAATTATTGGTCTTTTACTGTACCTATAAGTTAGACTCAACATTAGGATACAGTGGATTAAGTAAAATATGAGATTGTAGAGATACCAAAATAACAGAGAAATGTTGATTATGAGTGGAGATATGACAGCCTACGGAGGCATCAGGAGACACTTCATCTTCCTTCAGTTTGCTACTGTTACATCCCACAGCAAACTTATGATTGTGAGCAACTGTAACCATTCTTATTACCCTAATTTGTAAAATGTGCAAAGAGCTGTAAAAAAAATTTTTTTTTTGTGAACTAAAACAGTTTACTGTTGAGTACTATTTTCCGGAATGTGATGTGAAGTAGTCCAGCAGGAGTTCAATGAGGTTCCAAGGGAATGTCATGCCTGCAACTTAAAAACTGAAGCGTAAACCATGCAAGCAACTCCTTAAACCCCAAATATAGTACCCTTTATAATCATGACTGTCAGAACCTCAAATCCAACATAACATTTTATTATTTATAACTTTGATTATATGATTTACTGTTGAAATTGTTTGTTAAACTCAAAATTAATAACTGATATCTGGGGGAAGGAGGGACTGTAAATATTGAATTTCAGTTGTTTATGTGTTTCCACCTACACAGCCACTCAGCACACCCACATGGCTATGGCAGATACCATACATCTTAAGACTCCAAACTCCAATTTTTTGACCTTTCTGAAAATTCCTTCTAACAACTTGTTTTAACAGTAACATCATTATTATAACTTATATTACTCATTACATTAAAAAGGTTTCAGGTTTAAGTATATGTTGTAATTTTTAATTCTTTTTCTGAATGTGTTTTAACTCTTTTCACCCTTCAGGAAATTTTGAAGTGGGCAGAGAGTATGTTTCATGTCTACTATAAGGAAAAACACAAAGTTTACTGACTATAGATCAAATTTGGTGGAAAATGATCATTCCAATGACCATGAAAGAATTAAATCATTCTCAGAAATATATTATGCTTTCTATTTCAGAAAAATTGGAGCTATGTTAGATTCCAATACTCACAGGACACAAACACAGCACTAGAGCAGTTAATTTCGCAGTATTCTTGATGAATATTAATATATAACATTCAAAAATTGAATTCCAATATTTCAGAACAGGAAGATAACAGTTAAAGAACTGGGAACGGAGCATGTTACTCGTACATTACTCCACAATTATGGTGGCCATTTTCAATTTATTATACACAATATTTCAGTACTTGAATCAAATTCTACAGTTTTATTTTTGAGAATAAAGGAAAAGAGACAGGTAATAAATAGTCTCCAAATCAAATCAATAAAGAAAATTGTTAATATAACCACCAATCACTGATCACCTGGTGACAGAAATGAAGCCTAACTCTGATAAACTGTACATATCAAATACAGGTCAGGCAACATATTGTGACATGTTGCGCAATGGAGGACAATCCCTCCCTCACCCAGCAGTGACGTGGGAGCTCTGGCTTGGTGACGTAGCCCCCTGGGCTATGTGGCACCGCTTCCTACTGTGACAAGGCACGCAACGCGCGGTGATGTAACACGGCGTGAGGCAACAGCGGTACCGATTACGTGGCAGGCAAGCGCTGCGACTATATAAGGGGACTGCACAGCCGCCGCAGTCAGTTAAAAGTGTATCAGCGGCCGAAGACAGTTCTCCAGCCAGCAGTGAACGAGTTGAATTGAATTGTGGTAACCGCCGAGTTTAGTTGTAACGAGTGAATCGTGACAGTGTGAAGAGATTTGCGAATATGGTTATAAAGTGTGAAACCCCGCAACATTGTTATAATTAATTGTAGCTGAGTATTGTAGGCTGTTAAATAAACCAGTTAACAATCCGAACGGCGTAATCAGTAACAAAACACGTTACAATATCACTGTGTAATTGGTCAGCTGGTGCCATATACCTTCCATGAATCAACTTGTGATATACATAGTTGAGTGGGAGATGCAACTGAAAGATGTTTATATAATGACCCACACACATCTATTCAGAATATTCCCAAACATGACTGCAGTATCTAAGCTAGTGGTTCACATGTAAGGAATGTGTTCTGTTAAACACCATTTACTATTTTGAATTTAACAGATCAGATTATATTCAATTAACCACAGATATGTTTTTTTTCTGCTAGGACACGTGAGTAATAGTGATGACAAATAAGCACAGCATTACTTACAAGTCATATAATCAAGATAATGTTTCAGAAACAATCTCACATTGCAGAGGGCTGCTGTGCACCATTCCTTGCAATTGTAGTAAAATTTTATTGATATAAACCATTATTTTGAACGTCCAATTTATCCTACGTAAGTCCTAACCTCATTAGTCAAATGCAGAGCTAGCCAATGCCTGATGCAGAGTTCAAGGATTTGCAATTTTCCATCTGTATCCAGTTTTGCCAACCATGGTATTCGGGTTTATGTATCCACTATTTTTAATTTTGGTATATATGTGGAGGGGGGGGAGGAAGATGGCTTCTACACCAAGGCACCCAATTAACATTATCTGATTGTTATTCATTTGTATCAGTATACTACCATCTAGACTGCCATTGTACTGCACCTCTTTACTTTCCAAGACACTTGTGCCACAGTTTCCTCTAATCCCCAGTTTCCCACAATGCTTTGGTCTTGCCAGTCACAATATTTTATAGAAACATAACCTAAAAGGTTTGCAAGCGATTGATGTATTACATTTTATCTTCGATGTAAACACACAAATATTTTCGTAATGAGCAAAAAATTATTTTATTTGTAATAAGGAGTGATATTATGATAAGATGAGAATCACACTGAGATTTAAGAGAAATATGTGAATATATGTAATAAATTATTGTTCTCTTCTGTACACCTCACATGTGCAGATCCTTGTTTTCACAGTCGTCACTTGGTGTGATGGTGATCTTCTGGGTATTCATTATAAAGCCATCAAACTGAAAAATATCCAAATTGCAACAATATCTAGATCAGGAGTTAAATTTGCAATAGATACATCCTGAAGTAAACTTCACAAGTCTTTAACATTATGGGTGTACCCCCCACCCCTGGTTTAACAGATGCACTGGTTCACTGATGCCCTGAATCAAATTGTTTGCAGTGTAAATCTGGCTATCAGCACCATAGTAGCAGGAGACTTAAATATGGATGATAAAGGTTAAGGCTAGAGTTCTGTGTGTTTTGTAGCAGTGAAAATTTAAATTGTGGTTTTCTGAATTAAGATATCATACATTCAGATATTCTAACAAAGAACATAGAGTGGAAGGAAATACATATTTGCAACCTGAAATATGAGGCAATTTATATGCTTCTGTATAATGTGCTTATGTGAGTAACAAACAAACTAACTCACCTCCAGCTGACTGACTATTCTTTTAAATGTTAATAAAAATGTTTCCTGAACTTGTCCATAAAAAAGTAAATGTCTATAATTGGGGGTGGGGCGGTGTAAAACTATCCCTGTAACAGGCTGCAGAGGCTTATAGGGTTACGAGACGTTGAGGCTCCCACATTTTCTAGACAACTGGCTCACAGATAGCAGTGAGGTTGTCAGCCTTACATGCCAGCCACACTTTACCCCCAGGAGGATTTCTGGTACTCATTTCTGTTAAGTGGACGGTAGTTTGTTTAAAATCATAATGATATACAAGGTGGTTCAAATATGACCGGGACTGATTTTTTTTTAAAAAACCATAAATGCCAAACACTTACTTGCACCTGTCAGTTTTCAATGTACTCCCCTTTGGAGTCAACACATTTTTTCCAATGTTCTGGAAGCATCCTGATGCCCTTTTCAAAAAGGGCTTGTGGCTGGTGGCGTATCCACTCCCGAACAGTCTGGATGACAGTGTCATCCACAAACCACATGCCTTGCAAGTCTGATTTGAGCCTTCCGAATAGGTAGAAATCACTTGGGGCAAAATCGGGACTGTACGGCGGATGTGTCAGAAGGTTCCTTTTCAATTTCTGGAGGGTTTCCATTGTTGTTTTGGCTGTATGGGGACATGCATTGTCTTGAAGGAAGGCTACCCACTTTCCACCTGTCTTCCGCTTGGATCGGATCTTTTCCTTCACGTCTGTTGCCAGGAGGTCTGAGTAATAAGCTGCATTGACGGTTCTGGCATCTGTCAGAAAGCCTACATGGATAACCCCCTGCCAGTACCAGAAGAATGTTGCCATCACTCTTCCTGCCGAACGGCTCCTCCACGCTCTTTTGGGTTTGGGAGAACTGGTATGCCGCCACTTGCATGATGACTGCTGGGACTCGGGAATGAAGTAGTGCACCCACGTTTCATTGGTGATCACTATAGACTTCAAAAATGCACCACCTTCATCTTCAAACTGCTGTAGGAGACAACTGGCAGCTTGCATGTGCACCATTTTGTTCACGTTCATCAAAGTGCGTGGTACCCACCATGCATTCACCTTGCAATAGTGCAGGTTGTATTTCACGATGTCTTCTACACTACCAACACTGATGGACAGCATTACTCCAAGTTCCTTGATAGTGATGTGCCTATTCTCACGAATAAGCACATCTTGTAATATGTATTTAACCCCCGCATTATTTTACGAGATGTGATAGTGTACCCTGCACCGTGAGCTACCCTACTTGTTTATTCTAAGTTGTCCTTTTCCTGTATGGGGTAGTCTAGACCCCGAAATTCTGAGTGAATACAAAATAAGAGGTTCACCCTTTTGGGGAGAGACGTGCTTATGGGCACTTCCTGCAGGTGTTCTCCCCTCGTGATTTCAAAAATCATTTTAATTGGAATCCTCATTTAGAATTCCTATGACCATCCAGTGCTCCATACGTCTGAATGGTCAAACTCTTCTTTAAGGACGACGAATCAAATGTCGATCCTGAATCTGACTACGCCCTCAATAGGCGTGTCTCTGGGTGTCCAAGCACCAAGTCCGGGGTTCGAATCCCTTTAAAAACTCAGGCTTTGCCAGCCACGGTGGACACCACGCTAAACTTTTGACTTGTTCACTTCGGTCGGACTCCTCGCCAGTTTAATCACTATCTTCACGTATTTGTGTGTTACTACTGAACTTCAGCGCGGCATCATCGAGTAGTACACTCAGCACCTCCCTGGAGGCTACCTCTCACTACCTGCCGAATCCTACCGCGTTGGTGCATAGTGCACTCACATCCTCTGTTCATTTATCAAGTAACTATAATCAGTATTCCTAATGTAACCTTGTGTAAGCATTTGATTCAATACATCTTTCTATTAACCTGAAAACCGACTTCCGAAGACTTGAATTTCAATTCTTAAGTGCTCCAACGATCCCAGTCCACAAGACTTCCGCTCGGTCTACAAGTACTTCCCATCACTATCCTTCGGGATACAACACGTCGGGGAATTTTCTGGTGTCAGGTGTGGGGTTGGACACAGCCTTTGGAAGTTATTTCGGAAGTTTGGAGCCAGCAGAGGAAGATCGAGAGTTCTGCACGAGGGAGTGTAGTGGCCTTGACCTGCTCTCTCATTGACCAGTTGTAAGAATTTGACGTCTCCGCATCTCGACGATTCATCACCAGACGCTCTTAGAGGTTGCCTAAGGGTCGTTTTTCATCCCTCGCGAGAGAGTGTAGTGGCTTTGACCTGCTCTCTCATTGACCAGTTGCCTCTGCATCCTTCAATCACTCCGATTATGCTTAACGTCTGGATCCACGAGCTCTGATCGGAGGTTGACCGACTACGAGGCAGCACCACTTCATCATCATCCAGTCGCCGAGATCTGTTGGTTGCCAGACCGACACTAAGAGGCCACCGAAGAGCCTATCTAAGAAGAAGAAGCCAACACGAGGGAGTCCGACACCGAGGACCAGACTTCGAAACCCACCACAGCCCACCGGAGTTCACCAACTGCAGAGATCCATCACCACATCCCGCAGGAACTTCAAGGGACGTCCCCTGCGCAACCGCAGCCCCGAGAAGCAGAAACATCGGGTGAGTTGCACTCAATTATTTTCTTTGGATGTCAGCATAGTAGTTTGTTTAGACGTGGCTTAGGCAATTTGACGTTAGTGAAATTGTTTGTGAAGTGAAAAGGAAACCGCGGTTAGACAGATTCAAATTGAGGATTGATTAATTACGAATTATAAGTGACCATGGAGGCAGATAATAACAGTGATATTAGTTCTGCAGCCGATGATGGCATGCATTATTGCAGTGTGGCAGAGGCCATGAAATTGATTACCCACCCATTTGATGGCGATAAGAGAAAATTAAAGGAATTCGTAGAAAATGTTGACGTGGCATTTGAATTAGTTGACCCAAGGAAACATGAAGTTTTATTGAAATTTGTTAAGGCAAAGATAACGGGAGACGCCCGATCCAAGTTAATGGTAAGGGACCTTACTCACAGTTGGGGGCTAGTGAAGGGAATATTGGAAGAGAATTACGCAACAAGGCGTACGTTAGATTATTATGCTTGTAAGATGTTTAATGCAAGGCAGGGTAATGCTGAGAGCATTGCTTCGTGGGGAAGTAGGATAGACGCGTTACAAACTGATTTGAGGGAAGCTGCAAGACGGGTATGCAAGCCTGAAGAAATTATAGGAGCCATAGGTCTAATAAATCACCTAGGGAAGACTTGTTTCGTACAAGGACTCCACAATGAGAGAATTCAGACCATAGTTAGAAGTCGAGGAGAAACCATCCTCCTGTCTCAGGCTATAGAAATTTCTCTGGAAGAGGAGTGCGCAATCCTCTCCATGAAAGAAAGATCGCCTTTCTCAGCTAGTGGGCCCACCCTCAGATGTAACAAGTGTCATAAGTTAGGCCATACCAGCGCCAGGTGTTTGAGCTCAAACAGAAACCCCAGTGCCAGTGTAAGGGAAGTTTTAAGTTGCACGCGCGAGGAGCGCGATGCAAGGGCTGTCGGTAGAGACAGGCCCGCAGATTGTTTTGATGTTCAGGAAGTTTTAAGTTGCACGCGTGAGGAGCGCGATGCAAGGGCTGTCGGTAGAGACAGACCCACAAGTTGTTTTAATTGCGGCCGTGGAGGACACGTCGCAAGGTTTTGTCGGCAAGGACCGGCGTGCAGGAAGTGTGGTCTAAGAGGACACACTGCTGATTTATGTAGAGCCCCGAGTAAGGAATGGATCAGGTCGGGAAACGAGGGAATGGGAATCTCGAGCAACCTGAAGATTGCCCAACCCAGAAAGTAAATGGTTGTCCACAGTTTAAAGTTGATACTTGCCAGAATCGCCAAGAGTTAAATTCAGATAGTAACCCTCCGTTCAAAATTAATGAGTGTGAGAAGCATGCGAGGTCGAATTTAGACACGGTGACATTGAGAGTCGATTTGAGTAGGACCGATAAACTGAAATTTCTGGTTGACACTGGCGCAGATATTTCTGTCATCAGAGACTCGAGTTTGAAGCCCGGGTGCGACTTCAAACACGACAATGTAATAGAAATTAAAGGAATTTCAAAGGGAGTCATTAAAACTGAGGGTACAGTAAATTTGAAGTTATTTACTGATCACATGAAACCACGCATGAATTCCACGTAATAGGAGACAGTTTTCAGTTGCAATACGACGGAATTTTAGGTCACGATTTTTGGGGAAGTAAGAATGCAGTCATTAGCTACTGTAACCGTCAAATCCTGATGGAAGATGTCGTACTTAAATTCAATCCTAAGGACAGTGGCGCGAAGAGCAAAATTTTCAAGGTTACACTGAAGGCCAGATCAGAAAACTTTGTGAAGTTACCCACTACACATAAAGGACAAGGTTTTATATCGAGAAGGGAACTTATGCCAGGGATATACATGGTAGAATCTTTAACTAGGGAAATTGAAGGCACTTGTATAACGAGCATAGTGAACACATTAGAAGAAGACGTCACAATTGACGCGCCCCTTGTCGAGTTAGAGGAAATGGATGAACCCATTCAATCAGAGGCCATGATATTTGCTAC